TGTGTTCGAGACCTTCAGTCTTGTTCTGCATAGAAAGGGCCTAAGCATGGACCCTCTGTACCTTGTTGGGGAGCCTTGTGATGGAGGCTACCAGGCCAACATCTCCATAGCTCCAGTGACTTCTGAACACACTGGGACCTACAGATGCTATGGTTTTGTCAGCCTCCAACCCTATGAATGGTCAGACCCCAGTGACTCCCTGGACATTAAGATCACAGGTGAGAATATGTCTATTCTTGTTCATCACCCACTCCAGTGAGCAGATCACTGTAAGTTTTCAAGGGGCTGGAAAGTTGATACCTTTTGGGTACAATGGAGATAAGAAGTCTTTGTGATAGATTTAATGACAGAAATGGAAAAGGAGACATAAGGACACAACGTTGGTCTCAATATAAAGCACAGATACAGCCGATTCAGAGGAATCATGAAAGAAGCTTGCGCTGGCTAGTCTTATGTCAACTAGACATACGAACTGGGATTATCTGATAGGAGAGGATCTCAATGGAGAAGGCAGCTCCGTAAGATTCAGCTATAAGGCATTTCTTAATTAGTGATTGATGGGGAAGTTCTCAGCCCGTTATTGGGGGTTCCATCCCTGGGCTGGTGGTGCTGGGTTCCATAAGAAAGCAGGATGAGCAAGCCAGAGGAATCAAGCCGGTAAGACGCACCCATTCATGGCCTCTGCATCGGCTCCTGCCCTCAGGTTTTTTGTCATGACTTCCTTTGGTGATAAACAGTAATATAGAAGTGTAAACCAAAAAAAAAAAAAAAAAAACCAAAAAACCCCTCTTTTCCCCAACTTGCTTTTTTGGTCATGGTGTTTCATCACAACAATTGAAGGAGCTTACGGCAAAGGATGACACAATTATAGACGCTCATGGATCAGAGAGAGGGTTGTTCCATCCTGATCTTATTAATAGGCCTAAACAGTTCAAATGTAGTTTTTTCTATTCTCTTCCAGAAAATGCCAGACTCTCCCCATATATGAGTTGCATTTTAGGGCAGTTGGCTCAACATGGGTCCTAAGGCCTTGGTGCACTTGGCAGTAACAAACGCTGTGTTTAGTTGGACACTACTTTTCATGGTGTTGAGCCTTAACTAGAGCCAGCATACCATGCTCGTGGGCGAAGAAAGCAACCCCAGTCCCTGTGTGGCTGAGTTCTCTGCATCTCCAAAATACACACACACACACACACACACACACACACACACACACACACCTAATATAAGAATATGAACATAGAATGAAAAGTGAGATAGAACTTGAAATGTGATCAGAGGGAATGCCTGACAGTGAGAGAAAAACAGCTCAAAAGCAAGATCCCAGAGCCAAAGAAACAAAAACAAAGATATATGATGGTTCATGGTTCTAAAGAAGGCTAGTAAATGTAAAGCAGGGATAGGTATTGCGACTGATGACAGCTGAAAGATAAATACACAATAGATAGCATTTTGGCCACATAAAATATAGCATTGGAGCAATACAGGGGTCAGCACAGCTCATGAAAAAAGACAACACACATACTCCCTATGAAACAGTGCGTGAATAGTAACAGCTAGTGAGCTTTTAGTGTAGCTCATTTGCCTGACACGAGTGGTCGGTAGTGTGGGTGTGACACACAGCATTACAAAATGAGTAGTTTTAAAACACAGTAATGACATTTAAAATACATAAATAGCTTTTATGCTTAAATATAATGCTGGATAATGGTGGTGACGGTAAATACGTAGATAGTGTCTTAACTAGTTCCAAAAACGGTACCTCACATTTTATAGAGAAATTGGCTGACATACACGTGTGCTACAGAAAACACCCAGCGTGCTGTTTATCTACCAATCTATAAAGAAGGTGAAATAAAGTAGTAAAAACAGGACCAATGCTAATGAATTCTCTATATGGGGGAAGGGCCTTGATTTTTGGACTTATCTGGTGTATGCTCTGATTGCCCAACCTATCACGATACCAAAATTCTCACAGTAAATTATCAGGCAGGAGAAGAAAAGAAAAACACAACATAGAAATAAACTTGAAAAGAAGAGCACCAGCTCACAGTGTCAGGAAGTGTCAGTGGGTGTCCTTTCAGACATGTGACTTTGTGACCAAAATAATACACAGTTTTTGATGAAAGCCCAGA